AATATTTCTAATCTACCACATGTGCTCTATTTCAGATTACTACAGGTACCAGTACTATTATGGTTATAGTTATTATGGACGGTACGTTTCTTCATCAAAAGCTTTCATATTTTCACTCAAAAACTACTACGGATATGGATATTTTAAAAAGGACATTAGCGTTTATAGAAACGCAATGTACAATCATTTTAATTATGGTCCGACATTCGGCGGAGGACATGATATTTACGTTGCAAACAATGCAAATAGTAACTATAATTCTTACTTTAATTCTTACTCTTATACCGGTAAATACTCTAACAATGATGTCTGGACAGGAAATAACAATTTCTGCGCAGATGAGGTAGAGGTTTACTATGAAGTGACCAGTTAGTCGAGCAATCTGTTAAAAAGTTATCATGCAACATTGTTAGCTAACGTGGGAGGGTCTTATTAACTTCATTGTGTAAAACAAGTACGTTGTGTCTCCACAGGCAATATAGTGCTATTCGTGCATGATCAAATGGAAGCATGTTCATTGATTGAATTTAGTACCTAGAGCAAATAAGTGTGCAATTTGATAATGCAATGAGGTCAAGGTCATTTTACTTTCGTATTTACTGCTTTCAGTGGAATGAAGATTATCATTTCATGGGGTCAGAAATTCGGTTGAAAATTTCTTAAAAAATTCACGCAGATAAAGATTATATGATATTTTCTCGTTATGAAGCAAACTTTGTGGGGTTGAAACGCCTTTTACCAACCGAAAGCTACTTCGATATAACAGATATTCATCTGAAAAGTGATGAATTATGCCTCTGCTTCATTTTTAGGAATTAAAGTTAACTGAGGAAAAGTAAAAAAGTCAAAAATAAAAAACTGATATAGTGGGCTAAGAATGAAACACATGCGTAAGAAACTTGATTTTGTATAATGTAAAACACCAATGTATATCTTAAAATAATCTTGTATGAATGGTATGAAGCATATCTTCCAATAGACAGAATTTATAGCACCGCTAACTCATGGCATATTCACAGTCTGACGAGTAAGCTGCGAAGTTTTTCTCGTCGGTGAAAGTATACGCAAACTCCTTTCATAAGGCAGTAGTTAGTTAAATGTTTCCATAATTATACTTATTAAACAAATAATAGTAATTCTCGGTCAGAAATGTTGACGTAAGAAAAGCCAAATAGTCGTATTTCAGTTTGATAGATGTGGTTACAACTTTTCTATAAAATACTGTAGACCCGAGATGTGATTTTTGGAATAAGAATTAGTGAGAGTTCATAATGTTTAACAGCTGATGCAATAAACAGATGATCTCTGTAATGGTGTAAGGACTATTTCTTTGCCTTTGTTTGTGATAATCACAATATAATATTTGGCGATGGGGCTGATAGAGGCTGTAGCGACAGCCAGAAAAAAAATTGTTCAAAGTTAGAAAGCAACACGGTGATACAAAAGTTTTCTTCGACCTGCAGAAGTTATTTTAGCTGACTAAGGATGGATACCGGTGTGCACCCATTCTCCACGGAGAAGGGTGCGACTATAAGTAGGCTATAGTTAATTATAAACATTTCATTTTCCTGAGAACAACACAGTATCAAAAAAGAAGACATATTCTCCATTTTCACAGAATTATCCATCTCAAAAATTTCTTGAACACTTTGGAAAACATTTGAGGACTGAAGTAAATTGCATTCGAAACGTTGAAAAAATTAAGGGAAACTAATACTTCAGATGAAAGGACTTACATGTAAGACTAATTACCCGACGGCGTTAGCTTCAACTAAATTACTTTCGTCTGATTGTTTAAACGAAGTTTAGCCGTTGTTCAACAAAGCAACGTCTTAAATAATCCGACGAAGAGCTAACGCTCGAAACGTCAGCTTTTGTAATCGTTACGGTGACCAATTTACCATTTCAACTTTGTTGATATATCCAAATTATTTCCTTATACGCTTAGAATACGCAATATCTAAACCTATAATGAGTTGGAAATTCGCGATCGGTGAGGAAGATCATGGCTAAGTTTTTAAACTCTCTCGGTGGCCATTTTACGTATAAACTTGGTTGATGAAACAAAATTGTTCTGTTATCCCCATCGACGCCGCACCACAGTTTCCTAAGAAACTTACCCTCTTTATTCAGTTTTCAATACGGCCCATTTTGGTTGCCTTTTACCTCATGTTCTCATCAGCAATGATGTGTCACCTGTTTTCGCATGTTATTCTCTAATCCCGTTTCTAATGGCATAATTTCGAAAAAGTACAAACAACAATCACTCTCTATAGCCGTGTGGCAAATAACCTTTCCGAGAGTTCGGGATTATTCTGAGAACGGGATAATCCAACAAAAACGGTGCACGCTGTGCAATTAAAAAGTATCAGTGAAATAATGCGAGAGAAGTACAATGCTGAGCAATAACAATGAGTGAGAAAACAACAGAGGTGCTAACTAAGAAATAACTTAAAATCCTTCATCAATGTCTTTCAGAAAAGAAAAACATGCCCCCAAGCAATAATGTAGAGGATCTTTCACCACATTGTCATGCAGCAAAAAGCAACAGAATTTTTGATAAAGTCCATATTGGTAGCCTATTAACCTCTCCTGCAATGCGGTGTCACCAGTCTTACAATGTTCTACAATTACTCTGTTTTTAATGGCAACATTTCAAGAAGTTACAGACAACAACCGCGCTGTTTAATTAACCGCGTGGCAAATAACAAGCCCTTTCCGAGAATTCGGAATTATTTGGATAACAGAATAAGCCAACAAGCACGGTGCACGCTATGCAATATCAAAGTATCTGCGTTTTAATATGAGACAGAAAGCCAAGCTAAGAAAAAGTAAGAAAAGAAGAAAGCAACACACATAGTAGCTAATAATAATTTGAAAACTCGATCTCTCATGCATCTTTGGCAGAGAAGAAAAACATGCCCACAAAAGAGGTATTTTGTTGGTCTTTTAGCATATTGCTATGTCGTAAGAAGCAAGCAATACAACCGATTTTTGTTACCCCTTTACCTTAAGCTCCCTTCAGTAGCGTTGGGTCACCTGTCTTAGCACGTTCCATGATAATCTTGTTTCTAATGGTACGTTTTCTTGAAGTTACAGACAATAGTCGCGCTCTATAAACGCGTGGCAAATAACTCTATTCTAAGAATTCGGAGGTACTCATGATCATGCGTGGCAATGTGGTGAAAGACCAGTTACAATATACCTTTATTGACATGTTTTTCTTCTCTTAAGGAGATCGAAGAATGATTTTAAGGTATTTTTCAAATACTACCTCTGTTGTTTTTTCCTTTTTTGCTTTTTCTCAGCTTTGTATTTCTCTGGCATTAGTAGGCCAATAGTTTTAATTGCATAGCGTGCAATATTTTTGTTGGATTATCCTGTTTTCAGAATAATCCCGAATTCTCGGAAAAGGGTTATTTGCCACGCGGCTATGGAACGCAATTGTTGTCTGTAAATTTTCTAAACTATGTCACCAGTACCAGGATTATTGAAGAGCATGTCAAGAATGGTGACGCATGACTGCTGATGGGAGCTCGAATTTATGTGCGAGCTCATGTTTAATAAAGCCCATTTTGGTAACGTCTTTACATCTCTTCTGCAGTGTGGTGTCACCAGTCTTGCAATGTTCTACAATTTTCTTGTTTCTAATGGCAAGATTTCAAAAAGTTACCGACAACAATCGCGCTCTTTAATCAATCGCGTGACAAATAACAAGTATCAGCGTCCTAATGTGAGATGGCAAAAAAAAAAACTAAGGGAAAAAAACAGGAAAACAACAGACATAGTAACTAAAAACATTTAAAAATAAACTCAACGCTCTTCGTTAAAGAAGAAAAACATGTCCAGAAGAGAAGGATTTTGTTGATCTTTTAGCATTGTGCAGCAATAAAACAAGCAGTTTTTAATACGGCCCATTTCGGTTACCATTGAACCTCGAGCTCCCTTCAGTAGCGTTGTGTCACCAATCTTAGCATGATTTGTGATAATCCTGTTTCTGATGGTATGATTCCGAGAAGTTACAAACAACAATCGCACTTTGTAAACGCGTGGCAAATAACCCTTTTTTGGAGTTGTCTGAGAACAGGATAATCCAAAAAGCGCAGCACAAGTTATACAATCAGAAAAATTATTACTTCTTGAATATCCATTAGAGAAGAAAAACAGGCCCATAAAGAGACATCTTTTTATTTTTCTTTCAACACAATGCTATGCAGCAAAAAGCAAGCAATTCTCAATACGGCCCATTATGGTTACCCTTTCACCTTGAGTTCCTTTCTGAAGTTTGGCGTCATCAGTCTTAACATGTTCCACAATAATCCTTTTTCAGATGGCATAGTTCCAAGAAATTGCAGACAACGATCGCACCCTATAGTTGCGTGGCTTATAACCCTTTTCCAAGAATTCATTTTTTTTTAATAACAGGATAATCCAACAATCATGGCAAACCTCATGCAAATAGAAAGTATCAACGTTCTAACGCAAGACAGAAACAAGACTAAGCAAAACTAAAATGGAGGAAAGAAGAAAATGTACCTAACAATGAAAATATTAAAAAAACTAAAACTATCTCGGATTTCAGATTAGAGAAAAAAATCATGTCCACAAAAAAGGTAAGGGGTTGACCATCGTGTTGTTTTTCCAATCTTATTAAAATTTTTTTTTGGTCATTCCACCAAAAACCAGCTTTGAGCAATTTACGTTTGGCCTCGTTTCTAGCAGAGATATCAGGTAACTGTCAGCATCATTTAAGCATGTACCGACTGTTTTTGTTCGCATTCCGTTCTGAAAGCTTGGGATCAGAGGAGCTATCAGCGAGGTTGCAACTCATGCATACTTCCACAGAATGACCTTAAAGAAGTTTATCGGGCTTTTTGCTTTCCTGGTGATTTCTCTCCAGCTTTGTCTCTCAAGCGGTAAGTGTCTCGTTAATTCTGTAGCTGGTTTGATTTGATATTTCATTTAGATAAACTTCAGTCTCATTGCTAAGTTTTGTTGACGATGTTTTTGTCTAATTTCGCGGGTTGAGGTGTGGAGTAGATAAAAGAATCTAGTATCGTTTTTCTATGTCTTCTTTCTATCCAACTCTCAGCTACTTTACAATTTTTCAAGCTGGTTTAAAAGGTAGACGAACGCAAAAAGATTAGGCAAAGTTACCAGTCTGAAACAACGCCCGATGGGTGTGAAGTTGCCCTGGAGAAAACACACCTGTGCAAATTACGTCGATTTTAGCTCCTCGGCTACAAAATAGTTGAAGCGAAGAATTCTAGTTGCGACATTCTTGATCGACATTCTTGATCTTTCATCTTGAGTCCTCAAAAACACCTGTAAATCCACCTTTTCAATCATAATGAGTCTATGCGTGTAAGATCATGTTGCTAAAAGACATAAATGCAGAGTTTGTGCGTGAACGAAGCAGCTTTCCTTGCGTAGATCCTCTTAAACCTAAAGTAAAATTCGTCTAAAGACATCGATAATAGCTAACTACACTTAGATTTCAGCATTTTTGTTTTCTCATGTTGGGAATTAATATTGGCAACCTTTTCTGATATTCATTTTACCAGATGTCTTCCAAGCTGGAAAGGTCAACATTACTGATACCTCCCAAAACAATCATGGCTGCCAATCTGTCTCCTTCAAAACGCAGTTCCAGGGCTCAGGTGACGTCAAAGTCTTTGTTTCTCTAAGTCATGGCGACAAACATATCAAAATCCACGATCCAGCAGCTCTATGGGTAAAATCGATCTCTACATCAGGATTTAAGGCTTGCGTTCGTGAGGCAGGTAATGGTTCGGCAGGTATGTCTGTTATCAACTGGCTCGCATTCCAAGGGTCCCATCAAGGAATCAAGTCTGGCATCGTGGACTTTGATGAATGGACTACAAGGACACAGTGCAAACGAGTATCGATCATTGATAACCAAAGTAATGTAAGTCTCATTCGTAATCTGTTTAGTGTGCAACTGAATTAGAACTTTAACATGTCTCCCTAGAATATTCCTAAACGGTTTGGCTGCCGATTTACTTTTTATTTGACGCATTCACAAAAAGAATTTTCTTCAAATGATTGCAAACTCCAAAAGTTAAACTTACTTCTGATGTCTCTTAATTTTCTTCTGATCCTTATAGAGATTCACCTTTTTGCGCCAGCGACTGAAAACGACATTTTTAAAACTGAATTTGTTTGTTTTTTAATCTCTAACTTATATCCCTCTCATTGAATTACAGGGTTTTGAGAACGAGCCACAATTGTTTATTTCTGTTCAACATAAACACACAGACAGACCTTATGACTCCATGAATCTTTGGCTGGAGGGTGTCAATAAAAAGGACTTTTACGTCTGTATGAGAGAATTCATGGCGTTTGATGGCATTCATTTGGACCTCAAAGTGGTAAGCTGATTTTAAAGTTTTGCGATTATTGACAGTATTTCACTCAGATTGAAATGATCTTCGTAAGCGACGGAATCCCAAGTAATGCCTGAGGTCCATCGTGTGGCGCAAATTGCGATGATTAGTTTTTTCTTTCTCTCGCTGTTCGCATCATTTTTTTGTGTTTGAGACTTTACTATTCCTTAGTTTCACACCAGCTTAATCATGTTTTTCAAGTATAGATTATCATCAATATCGGTAATTTTTTTCTTTTCTAAAAATTGATATATTGTTCTGGTTCCACCAGCATTGGTTTGCATATGACGTGCTACCTTCCAGCTGGAACTTCACTGAAGAAGGAAAGATTCATTTCGCTGGAAATGGGGCGCCGTTGCGAAAAAATCACTTCGCTTTTTGCCAGGTAGAAAGTTGCTAGCATTATTATTTCTGTTCTGATTTGTTGTTTTTCTTTTTGTTTGTTTACTGTTGCTGATCGTAGCCAAGTCGATATGAAGTTTGAACATTTCAAATACACTTAGGTCAAGAGAACTCTTTTCATACCTATTTTTAATGAAGAGGTCTATCGCTGAAAGTTTTTAGTCTTGTATTTTCTGTACCAAAACAGGATTTTAAGTTTGAAAACCCATTTTACAAGCCGCCTACAGTCTTGATATCTGGAAGTCACGAAAACACCACAAGTGCACTGTGGGGCAACTCAGGAGGTCGCTGTAACAACGCTTTAAACGTTTGGATGGAGGTGACATATTCACATGAGCTAATCTCTTTATATTACCTTTTCATTCGTTATTTGGTTTGTTTCTTTGTTCTGTTTTGGGTTAGCTTTTGCGTTTTTAGTTGCCCCATTTACCATATTTTTAAAATGCTGTTGTTGCAAAAGAGAAAGCACGTATATTGTTAAAACAACCGGGAGCTGCAATGGCATACAATGAAGATTAAGAAATTGATTAAAGCAGATATTATATTTCGTTCCTTAATTTTAGCAAAAGGCCTTTAGAATCAGTTCTCAAGTTAGTAATTCAGATTTCAGTTGTGTTTGGGGTGAGGCTGACATTACTTTAAATTCAAAGCAATGACCTGTTTTGTTCCTTTACCAATTGTTTTTCAATTCCTTTATGCAGGAAGTAAGTCGGTCGGCGTTTAAGGTTTGTGTCAAGGACAGCCAGGGACTAAGCAAGACTCATGACCCAGTAACCGTACATTATGCAATCATTGGAGGTGGGCAATACATGGATAGTTTAAGTTGTTTTACCCACGTCTTTCTACCAGTAGCAAGGGATGTCAGAAATTTCTAATAATTCCAAATAATGGGCTGGCAAGAAGTACTCTCCTTAAGCTTTCTAAACTAAGATGCTACTCACGCAAAAAGAGTTAAAAACTGGTTTACGTTGGTTTCCTTAGTTCTAAACATGAACTCTTGCATCTGAATTTTTCCTTAGTAAGTTTTGTTCATTTTATTTTCAGACATGTGAGAATACCTTAGCAACACTACGGCTCTGAAAACACCCTTGATTTTCGCTTCATACACCTGTCTGTATATGGATAACGAGTTCGATAACCTCCATTTTTTATCATCAAATTGTCATCAACATAGCAAGATTCACCTTTTACATTTGTGTTGTTTTTAACTGTACATAAGATTCAAGGCAATCTTTAGTATGAGAGGGCCACCTTAATGTATTTATGGATTCTTCTAAAAAAATTGCAGAAAAAAATGAATCTTGATATGCTGATTTCAAGTCAATTAAAACAGAAAGGGGTCCTCGAACTTGTTTGCTTGTTTTTTTCTTGTAATTTTGTTTTCCCTTTTTAACTTCGAGAAAATGAGATTTAGCGTGTTTCCCTTAACATTGCAGTATTGCGACGGCAATTTAAGAAAAAATTATCACAACTTCTTGAGGGGCTTACAATAATCTTAGTCACTCAATGTTATTGAACGCGAAAAAAGTTCAGCCATTCAAAAGCGGCACTCTCTCATGTAGACCCCAACTTTATCTCGAAACACGTACTGTAAGCACTGCTCACTTGCTGGTTATATTTGATACTATTCCAAAGACCTTGACCCGTGCATCAACGTCACATGCGATTACTTTGCTGTCTGCAAGGCATTCGACGCATTTGACGCCCGTTGCGTGTGCGAAGAAAACTGCCCTTCATATGAAGAACAGGTGTGTTCATCTAACTCGACTACTTTCAAAAACAAGTGCATGTTTGAGCTGGAAGTATGCAGACTGAAGAGTAACTACACTCTGTATCACCCTGGAAGTTGCACGGGTAAGAAGTGGAGATGTGATTGTTGGCATGCTTTTATGTGTATAGTTTCATGTTGCTAATAAGCACTCAAAGGTACTCGCTGTTCAATCGTAAATACCACACTACTTAAATCAAGATGTAATGAAACGCGGGAATGCCCCACTATACCAGCATACACTAACAATTATGGGGAAAACTTTGTTTGATTTTCGCGCTTTAATATTTGCTCTTCTAACTGAGAGACGTATTGCTTCCGATCACAAGATAAATGAAGACAAAGCACAGAGGTATAGCCTCGGCACTGACAGGACAAAAGTGCACGTAGTTTCTTAATAATTTAAGTAGAATTTGGAGTGTATGAGCAAACCAGACTTTTTTAGAGAGAATGAACAATACCCATGACAGCGCATGACTGAAAGTTGGAATTATTTCAATGTTCCTTAGGTTTTCCTCTTCAATGGGGAAGAGTTGAGCTGAATAGAGATGTTTCCTGGGCTGAGACAGCTTGCGAGTTAGTGACTTTCCCGCCATTTTCGTTCTATCCAGACAAGGAAGTGCATGTGCAGATTACCACCAATCACTGGAACTCCACCAGGAGGAATTTCGCACACGAAGCCACCGTCTCGTGGGTGGAAAATATTAATTACCAAAATTTCAGGGTTGGTTATTCTTGAATAACTAGACTGAAATGGTACAGCTATTTTTACTTTGGTTGCTTTTTTGATTTCTTTCAACAGTGGTTTTTATTTCGTATCACCTATTCTACGGGACCCCTTCCTCACCACAATTTCTTTGTTTCTTAAAGGTTTGTGCGACGGCTGCAGGAAGAAATGACCGTGGAACGAAAGAATTTGCGACAGTCGACTGGATGGCTTACCAAGGAGCTCCAAATGGAGGTGTGACAGGAAATACACGTATTCCAGAATGGTGGACTGGAACGAAGTGCGTAAAGATTAGTCTGCCAAGGGTGAGTGTTCCTTTATGTTCACTGAAATCATTAATTGATAGTGATGATGTCCTCTACGTTTTCCACCTTCTTTTTCGGATGGAAGGTCTGCATATTATTGTTTCTCTAGATCTTTACAACGACCATTATGAAGCCAGTTGCTGACCTCAGCCAAATTTATATCGTGATTTTGCAGTTTTGGATCATTCCTAACAAAATGGTTCAATATGACTGACCGTATCTCATTTCATTTTTTCTAATTGGCAACTAACAACTATGTATTCTTTACATTAACAAGGATAAATTTGCAGCTACACCAATAATTTTGGCGACGGCAGATCACGTAACTTCAGCTTACAAGCATGATGCCGCCAGTCTGTGGATAGAATACGCTACCAGTTCTACCTTTCACATTTGCCTCCGAGAGTTACAAAATTACGATGGTCTTCATGAGGACATCCTAGTGGTATGTACCAATTCAGTGACTGTGAACAACTCGAGCAGGCTGCGTATTCAGAAATCACAAGCTCGCCATTCCCAAGGCGAACAACCTTTTTTTAAATTACATTTGGTCTTTTTGTAACAAGAATATTGGGATACCTTTCATGAAAAAGAGAGAAAAGAAATCAGGCTCAGTAACATGTGCGTTGTACATTCTGACCGAAGTTGCCGAATTTTCTTGGTTTATGGTGAAGAAACTTTGTACCAACACGTTTTTTTATTTTTCTAGAACTGGATGGCTTTTGAGGAAATTCATCGCCCGCTTTTCACTGAGAGTAGAAAAATCGATTTTCCTAACAACAGCCCTGTTTCTGCAAACTATAATGGTGCTTTCTGCAAGGTAGGCCACACATAAGGAGCCATGTTGAACAGGAAAATGTCAAAGCTTGTGGATATGTGGCCAAGGAAGATTGCCACGCATATTATGGCTTATACTTTGATATAGTATTATTAACTTAGATTACTCTATCAATTTTCGCTTATTTTATCGTTGTATTCATTCCTCTCATCAATCGTCACAAAAAGTCTTACCTGGGTATTAATGCAAAGTGATAGAATAAATATTTGAGTGAAGCACTTACGACTGATAGACTTCCTTTTAACAGTTGTCTTTGTTGATTTTTTTCCTTATTACTAGTTGAATTGGCTGTTTCTTTCCAACCTCTTCGCTTTTCCCTACAGGACGTGCAGTTCATTAAAACTTACGAAAAGGAACCTACAGTGATAATCACCGCGAATCACAATTCAGAAGGAAACAACCTAAAGCCAAAGTACATATCTGTTACTGCATGGATTGAGGTAAATTTTATATATTTTTTTTCCCTTTTCGGTTAACTGTTTACCAAGGTGTCCAATGTTTATACAGTTTCTCGATCCGTATTGCATGTCAGCTCACCCGTAACTGTGAAGCGTTCAGATGCGTACGTAGTCCTTGTTCTACCACATGCAAATCCTCATCTGGGGTTTTCCTTTTCTGCTTGAATATTTTTCTTTTTTGCAGCATATCAAGACATCAGAATTTCGTATTTGTCTCAAGGAGTTGTTTGCTGGTCAGCATGACCCTGTTACCGTGTCTTATGTTGTCCTGGCGGGTAAGCATAACTACGAAAGAAACAAAGTTCTTATTGTATAAATTATCCAATTTAAAATTTTTAGCAGAATGGTGAATTAACTATACTTCATCTCTGACATTTGTTTGCCCTAGACGTGTGTAAACCAGGCTGGTCGTACTTTTCTGGCTCTTGCTACTCCACAAGTCAGTCGTGCAAAAACTGGACTGAGGCACAAAAAACCTGCCAAATATACAACAGCAGCCTTATTGCCGTAAAAAATCAAGAAGAAAATATTTACATACAGCACCGTCTGAATGGGGACAAAGGATGGATTGGATTTAATGACAGGGACACTGAGGGCACTTTTGTTTGGGCTGGTAACCAGCGGAGTAACTTCACTTATTGGGCTCCACATCAGCCAAACGATTTCCGACTGAACGAAGACTGCGTTCACACCTTGGGGGTTGGACATAAATTTACATGGAATGACGTAAATTGTAGGAGCTGTCATAATTACACATGTTCTGATGGTAAATGCAATATTATTTTAATTCGAAAAACAACATCCATTTAATCACTTAAGGTTGTGACCTAAAAGAATTTGGAATTTGGAGTCAATAACCTCACTCCGTCTCTATTTCCCTTCGTCCCCCTTTTTTCTCTCCCTCCGACCTATGACTTGGCCTTTCAAGCATTGTCTAATTAAAAGCTTGTTCGCTAATTTTTTTGGTTGTGGTTATTTTGCTGTTGTTGATTCCCCATTCAAATTTTCCTCTGTTGTAAGACCTTGATGAATGCAGAGGAAGCTATCATGACTGCAGCAAGAATGGGATTTGTACAAATACACAAGGATCATACAATTGCCACTGTGCCAGTGGATATAGCGGTGATGGTCGGAATTGTAAAGGTATTGATTAAGGAATTTAGTTCAATGTGTTCATATTCAGAAACTTAGTCAAGCATAGAGTCAATACTGGTAGCGACGTGTTTTAAGTCCATCTGTCACTCTGTATTTGTCATTATTCCAAATTTAACATTAAAAGGAGAGAAAAAGTTGGCAGAACCTGCAGCTGGAACTGATTTAATTACCATAGCAACTGGTTTACTGGTTCAATGATCGACTGATCATCGACCGACAGACTTACACAGTAAATAAAGGAAAGGCCACCACCTGAATCACCTGAGCCAAGATCTAATCAATTTATTTTTATTTTTGAATGCTACCGACCTACTATTTTTGTTCATGATCCTGACTGTGCACCTTTAGACCATAATTTTCCGCGTCTTGTAAAAAAAAATTAATGCTTCCTTGTATAAAACTTTGGGGACGTTGCAGTCCTTTGTATCTTGTGTTTCGTTTCTATTGCAGACATAGATGAATGTTCCTCGGGTCATAGGTGCCATAGTAATGCTACCTGTCAAAATACAGATGGATCGTATACATGTACATGTGTTAATGGTTATACTGGAGATGGAATCACTTGCTCAGGTACACTTTGCACCGATTTTGAAAAAATTCCTGTCACAGCCTAGCTTAGTTTCATTCTGTAAAATTCCATGCGCTGCCGTGCATAAGTTTTAAATAACCTTGCTCTCAGAGTTATCACTATTTCAGGTCTATAAAGTATTATTCCAGTGACTTTACTACCCAAAAAAGAAAAAAACACTGACGCCGTTTTCCAATCACCACCTTCAAGTCAGAGGGGGAACTCCGAGAAAAAGGTTCCCATTTCCTTTATTTTCCACGCTTTTCAAAGACCCACATTGAAATTGTTGCCTGGAATTTTAGTTGAATTCTTTGAACCCGAGGGGTGACTATCACGTAAAGTCTCATTACAGTATTCTCCGAAAATCACACGTCAAGGTCACGAGAATAAAGGAAATGATCACCAACTAGAGAAGCTCTTAATTGTTGATAACATTCTCCTTGTCAGTACCTTAGGGAATGCATAGAGAACAGTTTGTGCACACTGATATTAGTGTGTAAAAGAGCATTTTATATCTTCACAGTCTCCTTTGTTGCGTTTCCTTGTTTTTTTTAAATTTGGGCAAAATCTCCCAGCATATACGAACACACACAAAAGGCTGGTCATGCTCGTGTCATATTTTGTTATTAGTATAATTTCAGAGCTGAGCAAAGAGTTTCCAGCAATCTGATTGGTCGAGCGGTTCCTTATATGACACTATATAAACCGCTCCACGCGGTTTATATAAAATGTTAAAATAAAAAGTTAATAAATGTTACTAAAATGTTATGATTTTAGAAATTTCTCTGTTTTTCAGCTCTGAAATTATACTAAAACAATTATTCGCCTCAGGTTCGGTGAATATTGTCGAATAATCCCCTCGACTTCGTCTCGGGGATTATTCGACGATATTCACCTCGCCTTCGGCGAATAATTGTTAAATAT